AAGCTTACTTGGAAATTGAAAATTTAGGTACGGAAAAATGGACTTCGTTCTAAGGATGTTTTTACTTGGATTGTTTTCAATCTCAGACCAAATCTGACCAGGTCACACCTGACTAGACAAGATAAGATCAAATTTGGATAGTTATAAATAGAGACTATACATTTATCTGACCAAACAAGATCAGACTAAATTTGGACAGTTATAAATAAAGACTAGACATTTATCACAACATAGCAGATCCATTCACACCGGATTAGACCATCAAATTTGTGTGCAAAGTAAAAACATTCCAAGACATCTTACGAAGTACGGACTACTACGGAGTATTCAGTATTGCTTTGAACATCCGAATAACCACTAAAATAGCCGAGGACTGTAAATTCATCCAGCGGAGCTCGTCACACCCTATCAGCTTTCAGATTTCCCCACCTTTCACTGCCATGGATCCGCTAATGCTCCTCCGCGAGTACACAATCCGCAACGAACTCGATCGGATCTCTCGAGTCGGAGACGAGTTCCGATTTGGGAACGACTACTCCTTCCCCGGCTCTATAGAGACCGGCTACCGCTCGAAGCAGGGGAATCGCTATACTCTCGAAACCCTAGTCCACTTCATTACAAACACCCAGGTCAAGCACACCGATTACATTCAGCATGCCCGGTCGAATCGGATTCATCCTGTCACTCTCCCAGACCGCAAGCCCCTCGTCGATTACCTCACTGGGAAAATATCTTCTTCCGATTCCATCGAGTTCATCAAGTACGACGCAGGTCCCGTTCCGGCGGTTCCTTCTATAGCTGGAGCTGAGAATTATGGCAATGCATACGCTGAGGGTAACGATATGCCTGATACCTGGGGTTTGGATGGGCAAAACCCTATGGATATGATTCGGGCTATCGAGAGGCCGTTGAAGGACCGTGAATCAATTTTGCTATGTAGGAACCGAGATTTCTATACTGTTTTGACTGCAGCTGTGCGGAGGGACGAAGAGAGACAGAGGGAAGAGGCTTTGCAGAGGAAAGATGGATTGGTGGCGAAAAGTCGGTTGGAGAGAGGGATTGGGTACGGAGGTGGTGAGGATATGGGGTATGATGGAGGTATGAAGACTAAGATGCATTTTAAGGGGAGCAAGATTGGGGAGGGGGTGCCTATCATTCTGGTTCCGAGTGCATTTTCTACATTGATTACTATATACAATGTAAAGGAGTTTTTGGAGGATGGTGTGTATATTTCCACAGATGCGAAGTTGAAGAAGATGAATGGTCAAAAGCCAGAATGTGTGACCGTGCAGAAGAAGTTCAGTAGAGACAGGGTGGTCACAGCCTATGAGGTCAGGGACAAGCCATCCGCATTAAAGGCTGAAGACTGGGATCGAGTAGTTGCTGTTTTTGTGCTGGGGAAAGAATGGCAGTTCAAAAGTTGGCCTTTTAAGGATCATGTTGAAATCTTTAATAAGAGTAAGTTCTGATATAGTGTATCACTACACATGGACTCAAATTTACCATGAGCTTGAGTTACCGTTTCACTTCATCTCATTTGCTCCAAAAACTTAAAAAAGACTGGACTTTACTGTCACTGGTATAGTTTCAATTGATCGGGTTGTTAATGTTGGCATACTAATTTATTTGACTGCATTTGTCAGAAGAATCTACTATTTGCACTCACAAGTGATTGAGCTTTTCTGTATTGGCTTTGGTTGCAGTTATTGGTTTCTACTTGCGTTTCGAGGATGACAGTGTCGAGTCTGCAAAGACTGTAATGCAATGGAACGTCAAGATTATTTCGGTAGGCAAATTTGTTTTTGAGCCTGATCTACTTGCTATGCTGCTAGCTATCTAGTACGGAGTATTATACTACAAAAGGGACTATGAGTTACTATCAAGTTTCATGTTTTGTGAACTTGTTATCAGAAGTGTTATATTTGTTGTGCAGATTAGCAAGAACAAGCGACACCAGGACCGAGCAGCTGCTCTTGAGGTGTGGGACAAGCTTGAAGAATTTATGCGGTCTCGATCACGTTGATTTACTCGTTACACATAACTTATGGTAAAAGGCATCAGAGCACTGGTGTCTACATGAGACTCATACGCTTATAAAGGCTGTGAAAGACCTGCTCGATGTGTAGTGCACGTAACAACATCAAAATAGTGATAAAAACTTTAAAAGAACCAAAGAATATCCTTATAGGATGATGGCCTCCAAAATGAAATCTAACCAGAGCCACTGTGTAGATCTAATCATCTAACTGATGAGAAATTCATATTGGAACGTGATTTCCTTGTGTTGTCTTCCTTGTATCCTTATTATTCTTTTTCAGTTAGTAAGTTCCCTTTACAGTCACATAATTTATGTATCGTTTTTGTTCTTTCATTTTTCGTGTCACACATTTCACACCAGTTTTGATGCCCCCATCAAACTCTTGGCTATTTCTAATATTTTACTAGTCCCAGCTTTCCCGTTGGCTTATATTAATAGCTTGTAATTGTAGGGTCATTACGCCGGTATACCTCTCCACAAGTCATTAGAAAATATACTTATTTGGCAGGAGTAATTGGTTAGTCTATACTCCCCCCCCTTATGTGGTTTGAGTACCTGGCTAGTTACTGTTTCTTGTTTTCTCAGACTGGTAGAAGGTTGTGCAAAAAAATGATGACTTCATATGAAACTAGTTTCTACTTATGGAAGTTTTGCCATAAATTGGTTCTATACCGGACTCTTCCTGCAAAAAACAGTTCATAGCACCATAGTTCTTTAAGGCTTTGTTTGCAACCATTTGTGCTTAAATAAAAGCACTTTTTGATAAAAAGTGATTAGTAGTAAAAGTTAGGGAGTGTTTTTGTTTGCTCAAAAAAAGCACTTTAGAGCTTTTAGATTAAAAAAAGCAATTTTGAGTGTTTGGTAACCCCAATTTTGACTTAAAAAAAGTACTTTAAAGCCATAATCCGGAAGCTACCCCAGCCCAGCTTTTAATAGCTTCTAGGTAAAGTTGTAAATACTTCCAACTTTAAGGCTAATGATAATGGCAAACAAATCTCCTAACCCCCAAATTACCCCTGAAATAATTACTTTCATCTACCCAGCCCTGTTCGTTCATCTATTCCTTCCATCCCCTCTCTCCCATGTCGGCGCCATTTCTACGCCAGTTTTTCTTCAATAGCGAAACTAGAGTACTCACTATTCCACTAACTCTATACTACAGATTATACGATGGCAATACGATATGTTTTTTTAAAATAAAAAATTAGTTTAGCACTTTAGGGATTTGGGCTGTAGAGGAACAGTTTAGGGATTTGGGAACGAAGAACCGGAGATAGCGAAAGCTCCAATAAACAAAATCGACAAAATCAGACCTGTAGAGGAAGAGATTATTACCTGATTGGAGAAGGAAGGTAAAAAAAATGGGAACGAAGACCCTTCGCTGGAGACCTGGAATGCCGGCAAGCTCGAACGACCTAATGGGGGATTTTGATTAAAGGGTATTTTTGTACTTTTACAAAAAATACTCCATCATAATCACTTTTTTATCAAACACTCCAACTTTTACATTTTAATCAAAATCACTTCTATTCCCAAACACTACCAACTTTTACTACAAATCACTTTTCCAATAATCTCTTAAAAAAATCACTTTTAAAAAGCACAAACAATCACAAACACTCCCTTAGTAGTGTTTGGTAAAATAAGTGCTTTTTGTGTAATATAAAAAGTAAAAAAGAGATTCTACATGGAAGTCGAGAAAGTAAAAGTTGGTAATGTTTTGTAAAATAAGTGCTTTTTTTCTTAAAAAAAAAAAGAAGTCAAAATCACTTTTCTTAAGTGATTGCAAACAAAGCCTAAGAGTGGTGCACCTGGGTTGCCCTTTATGTTCCCAAACTGGCTGGTGGAGGCTAAAATATATATTTCCTCTATCCCAAATTGAATTGCAATTTTTGGATTATTAATTTAATTGATGATAAAGTTAAATCACCACAAAATCTTTTGGGAAAAAGGCTTGGATGTTGTTGTATTGAAAACTCAATTAAAATGAGAATAAAAAATGAGAATATACTATGCAATAAAAAATTGATATACTAAATAAGCTGAAAATGTAAAATTGTGTTGACCAAGAAAATTTGACTTTGTAAATCATTTTGGGACGGAGGAAGTATTTCCTTGAAGTCTTTTTATTCGTACCAAATGTCTTTCCTTAAATTTAGTGAATTGCTTTTGTTTAATACGGATTAAATGTGTAATGTTGTCCGAAGAGGAATATATGGATTTGGATCTTTTTTTTTGGATCCTTTGCCTACACACATTCGTGATACAACGCAAGACCAAGATAATGCATCTATATCCGTTCTTGATAATTAAAGGAACGCTACTCCTAAATAGGATACATTTGGATGAAAATTCTATAGGCTAATGTTGGGTTATTAATTATTATTGGCAAAGATGTTTTCCTTGCTGTCAATGTTTTTCCCTCGAGTATTCCCATCTCTTAAGCAATGTCAAGTTCTTAATGGTATTTATCCCAGGATCCGGAGTCTCTACCAGTCTACCTTACTTTAGAGTAAAGTAGAGTGTCTTGCTTCCTCCCGGTCGTCCGATCGACAATTCAACGGTTGGAGATCTTGGGTTCCACTTTTTCGTCGATCTCGAGGTCGTGTTGGCCGCTCCCCTCCCGTCTGATGCGCAAGGCACCCTCAAGATCGGCGAAAAAATGGAGCCCAAGATCTCTAATCGTTGAATTGTCGATCGGACGACCGGGAGGAAGCAAGACACTCTACCTTACTTTACTTTAAAGCAAGACACTCTACCTTACTCTAAAGCAAGACACTTTACCTTACTCTAAAGTAAGGTACTCTACCTTACTCTAAAAGTAAGTAGAGGCTCCGGATCCCTTATCCCAAAGGTGTATCAACTATCAACCAAACTTTTGGATAATTCAGACCAGTTGTCCTCTCTACCTCATACTATTTCAAATGAACAAGTAGGCTTTATTTATAGAACACGGACATAAGTGGACATTAGTTTGGCTCAAGAAATGATGCAACTGTGGACAATAAAAATAAAAGGTTAAAATCTAGCTACTGAGCAAGATGTGGCTAAAGCTTGTGATAAAGTTTAACTTTCTCATCAAGTGTTCTAACTAAATTTGGCTTCTCATAGAAAACTTATTATGCAAACCTTTCTGTATTGGTCAATGGTGTCTCAATTTGCTTTTTCCGAGCCATGAGAGGAGGTGAGGAGATAAACAAAGAAACCCCCGACCCTCAATTTGCCTCAAAAGCCTTTCCTAGAAACTCAAACACCTAAATTAAGAAAAGTGAAATGCTAAAACCGATGCTGGCTTGCTGCAAAATCTACATCTCCGAGAGCAGAAACCGAGCCGCGCTCGAATCGATTGAAAGAGCGGCCAAGCTTTTCCCAGGGGTCGCCATTATCAATAAGTTCGAAGATGAGATTTACAATAGAGTCGGGTACACCATCGTCTCTAATTTGGCTCCTCGAGGCCCGCCCATTAAGCAACAATGTCCATTAAAGAACGCGGTTCTGGAGATGGTCAGAACTGCTTTGGACACCATTGACCTTCAATTGCATTATGGGAATCATCCTAGGGTTGGTATTGTTGACCACATCTGCTTTCACCCATTGGCTGCCACTACTTTAGAAGATGTTGCTGGAACTGCGAAGTCTTTGGCAGCTGATGTTGGCTCAAGTCTTCAAGGTTGGCTTCTGAAATCTCTTTAGGGTTTCTAGATTCCTAATTTGGATATCCTTGCTATGTTCTTTGAACTTGTGTTTATACACTGCTATTCTTTAGGTTTTCCATTAGGATGAAGACATTTAAGCTGTGTTTGGGAAATGTAAAATTGTAGTGAAATGGGCGAGCGTATATACTATATACAAAATAGATTCTCTTGCTACAGGGAAATGCTCAGGGAAGTTATTTTTTATTAAAACATTCTGGGTTTGTTTGGTATTTGGCGTCTGTGATGAAAAAGAACTAGTAAAAGCTGATCTTTCTGGCGTTTGAACTTTGAAGCAGAAAACGCCGAATAACAAACACCCCCTCTAAATTATTTTTTTGCTTTAGACTTCGTATAACAGAAATATAAGCGAGATCAACTAGTTACTTTCTTTTTATTCTTCAGGCTGTTATTATATGCGATATTCTATTAAAACTTCAAAACCATGTTTAAGCTTACTTTCCAGTCTTTTAAGCTGCATGGAAGATGCCATACAGTCTACAGGCATATAGATTTTTGGAATATAAAAACATTATAAATTTTTGAACTTTAAGCAAATGGACTATAATGTTTTTATTCCCAAACTAGGAGTGATTCCCAAATGTTTGTATCGGACTTTAAACACGGCACCATTATTCCAAGTTTGGCAGTAATAACTCCTATTTTGGGAATAAAAACATGACAATTCTATTTTTGGAATTCTTAAACATTTTTACTCCTATTTCGGGATTTCCGCCCAAATTGAGTGTCTCTAGAAACAAATAAAAGGTGATTGAAGTAGTAAAGAATCACATCTTATTTTAATCTTTCAATTATTGTAAACTCAAATGCATATCAAAATAAAGATTAAGCCCTCTTAACCCTTCCCTTCGAATCCCCTCCATAACTCACCCTTGAAATGGAGCCTGTGAGATGAGGGGATGGATCTGATTTCTTTCCACCATCTAGTATAAATCCTAGTGAGAGCTCCAGACATTAAAACCCCAAAAGATGGTTTCTGAATTAAGGAGACGTATGCTATTTGCCTGTATCTCCAACTAAATTCCAATTTAATATCTTATATCTTCTGAAGGGACCAATATCCTTCCCATCAAGCTTCTTTCAAAGTGAGGTGTGGTTCAGTTAAAGAAGCTTTCAGCATCCTATCCTCCCAAACTCACCACAAGACTGCTGGTTGGATGGATTGACCCCTATCCTTTTGGACCTTTTCTTCTATTTCTTAAATTAGCAGCAAATCCAGCAATCAATCAGTGTAGGGTACATGAATCAGCCTGACCAAGGAGTAAGAGAGTTGGTTTCTAAAGTCAAGTGTAACACCATACCCAGTAACTTGATCTTTTGCTAACCATGCTTTCGCGACGGAAAAGAGAGCTTAAGGGGTGAAGCTAACTGAGAGCCTTAGCCTCTCACATGGTTAGGCATCCTTTTAATCCCCTCTAACTGCAAGATTTGATTGCAAGTACATGATATTCATATTCTAATAATTCTATTGTACGGTGAATTTGAAATTGTTTTTTATGACCGGTAGTAAATTTTGTACTCTAACTAGTAGCTAGTTTAATATGCGTTCGAAAATGATTGCATTTCATATTTGTGGCTAGAGCTACATGGTTTTCATTTATTTTGTTTTCCATAATTTCCCTGGAATGTTTTTTATGTTATTTGATACGTAGTAATAAATACATTTGTTATCTCCTGAAAGAGTTCTTTTTTTTATGTATGTTTAATCCTACGACTATTATGACAATGACACTATTGGTTGTGTGCCCGTCTATTGATTTTATATTTTAGTCTTACGACTATTATGACAGTGACACAATAGTCAGCGGACTAAATGCGGGAAAATTCAAAGACGGGTGCCTAAAATGTCATTGTTACAATAGTGAAAGAACTAAAAAGGTGGAATATTCAAAGACGGATACCAAAAGTGTCATTGACAAAACTAACAATGGAAAAATCCTTGTTTATGAAGAAGAAAAAGTCTCCTCTCAGTGGCATGTGTTACACTGGTTTTAAAGTTGGGAATCAGTGTCATACTCCTAAATCATCTTAAACACATTTGCAGTTCCAACCTTTTTATATGGAGCAGCACATGGAGAGGGGAGGTCTCTTGATTCAATCAGACGAGAGTTAGGATATTTTAGACCTAATGCCCAGGGGAACCAGTGGGCCGGTGGGATGATTTCAGATACGCTGCTCGTGAAACCAGATGAAGGTCCGAATCAAGCAGTTATATCCAAAGGCATTATCGTGATTGGAGCAACCGGGTGGGTGGATAACTACAATATTCCTGTCTTCTCCAATGATATCAATGTTGTTCGTAGAATTGCAAAGCGGGCTAGCGGCAGAGGAGGCGGGCTGACATCGGTGCAATCTATGGCACTTTGTCACACAGAAGGTGTCATTGAGGTGGCTTGCAACTTGCTGGAGCCAAACAAAGTTAATGGCATTCAAGTTCAACTGGAAGTTGAAAGACTTGCCAAAGAAGAGGGTGTGTGTGTGGGCAAGGGGTATTATACTGATCTTCCACAGGAAAACATAGTAGATAGTTACTTGAAATTGGTATAAGATGTACTCCGTATCTTTCTTTCCAAACTTCAATATATTCTTTTCAAAACTGCTGTTACCTAAAATCCATCATTGCCATGGCGCCCACACCTTACTTTGTTGCCTATCTTTTGCTATAATATATTACTCCCTCCGTCCCATATTAAACTCATATTAAACTCATGAGAGAGAAATAATCACTACCACATATTCTTTGTCATAAAAGGAAATAGAAGTTTATTTTGAGACGGGTGAAATGTGAAAGAATGAAATAGGAAGTAATATATATGCAACATACTTTGAACTCTTTTAAGGCAAGCGTTAACCATAGTCCAAACTCCAAAGGCATATTAATGATGATCGAGTATTGACTCAAATGGTTACGGTATGCTTAATGAATTCTTAGTTGTTGGAATAATGGAATGCCAAGTTAGAAGAATATCTTTAAAAGTTTACTTGACATTAACAGCATGAAGAACAATCTATAAGTTCATTTGATAAAACAAATGGATTTGGATCCTCTACCGCTCGACAGAGGCGCCTTGTGGCATCCAAAGGCAGGGACAACACGGGAGGTGAGCTGTGGGGTTGTCAAGATTGAATCGCGCGGCTATTAAAGCACGCACCCTACCTAGCTGCCAAGGCCAGACAAAAGAATCTGGATCCAAAACAAATATGTAGTAGTTTATTGCTGAATGCTACAAGAAATTTAAGTTATGAAATGATCCAAATTATGTGTTCTTCAATTGATATAGCATTAAAAAAACATTAAAATTTATGCACATCAAGGAGGATTAGTAATAATTCCACCTTTGCTACATGCGACCAGGGGCGGATCCCTTTTGTGCAAAGGTGTTCATGTGAACACCCAAAAAATTAAAAATAAAATGTTAAAATATACATATAGAATTTATATAATAATTTAAATAGTGTATTGTTAGATAATATCTCTTGCATTTAATCTTATTTTCCATTTTGTTGTTGTTGAAAAAGTAATATATATTCATTTGTTGGATCGATTAATATTATTTCTTCAACACTTTGACGATAAATTAATTTTGAACACCCAACTTTTGATCGCAAGATCCGCCACTGCATGCGACTAATGTTTTTACCCGTATTGGGGGCATAATTCAGTGGAGGGTAGACCGGTAGAGTGTGCTACAAGGAGACGTCACATGTTCATTAGTAATAATTCAACCTTTGTTTTGAGAGACTAATGTTGTTATCACGGGGTATGGTAATTTGATATTTTCTAACACACGACTTTCGTCATTAACACATTTAATTGACTATATAATAATACAAAGCATTAAAAAGACAACCTAACATATTTAGAAACACTTTTTATAAGATTCATGGTATTTATTTTCATATGCAAAATTGAAGTATTTATCTCACAAATTAAACCTACAAAGTTTGAGGTACTTAAATTATTTCACCCCACTAATTAATGCATCAATGGTGCCCCGTAGTATTAATTGAAGACCATTTGGTTGCTTCTTGTGTGCACCAGACTTGAATCACTTCACTCAGAAACTGTTTGATATCATATCGTGATTTTACTCCTCCATCGTCTTGTTGGGTCGAAGTGTGTCGCCTCGTGTATAGTTGATGCCTTACCAAATTGATAAGATCATTCCAAGTTAAGTGTACGTGATTCTTTTGGCCATTGGATTGTTCGAGTTGAGTGGTTTATTTTAGAATTAAATCAACTTCTGTTCTTGTCAATATTATGTCAATATTATATTTGTCCAACACTATTACTAGGGCTGGACTCGGGCCGGTTCGGGCCCGGGCCTAGGCCTGGTCGGGCCGGCGGTTCTGCAATGGGGGGCCCGGAACCGGCCCGGATAATCCCCGGTTCCGGGTCAGGCTGGTCTGGGCCGGGCCTCGGGCTTTGTTAATTTTTTCCCCCTTTTCCTAGTTAACCCCCCCACCCCAAACCACCCCAAATGGCCCAAAATACCTAGCTCAACCCAAAAAGTAAAAAAAAATGAAAAAAAATAAATTAAAAAGGCCCGGAACCGGGCCCGAACCGGCCGGGCCGGTTCATGATTTGGGGGAACCGAGCCCGGACCGGAACCCACGCGGGTCGGGCCTACCCGGACCGGTCACTGACCAGGCCACTGGGCCAGGCCGGAACAGTGCCGGTTCAGGCCGGTTCCGAGTCGGGCCACCCGGCCCGAGTCCAGGCCTATCTATTAGACATTTCTTACTGTGATTTGAATGTGAAATAAGAAAAGTAAAAACTATATGATTGAGATTTATGTAGGGAAGAGAGAAATGATGAAAATTACAAATTCATTAATTTTAAAAAAATCATTAATTTAAAAAGAAAGTGATAAAATTTTGAAACAAACTAAAATGAAAAATTAGCGAAGTCCAATGGAATGAAGAGTACAAATCCTTAAATTTTTTTGACCAAATTTTCGACACCTCTCAAAAAATTTAACAACAAAAATATACATAAAGATGTCTTGATAAGAAACAGTAGTAGAAAGCAAATAAAAAGATGTGAATCAAATATAGGATCGTTATAATGCAGGATGCAAAATATACCGTATGACCGGCATACCGTGCGCAAGGTATGCTGGTCCAAATACGGCACCGTTTTTCTCCCTTTTTCTCTAGAGCACTACGTTCGTTTCCTTTCTTTTCCTTCAAGGCTCAAGCCTCCGGATTTCTTTGGAGCACTATCTCTGTATTTTTCTTTTTTGTTTTCTTCAATTATTTTCTTCTCTCCATCTAAATACAGAGTATTAAAAACTAGTTTTAATTTTTCTTATACTCATCTTTAAGTAATTAAATTGTAATCGAAATAACTTTTTTCTTTACAAATTTATTACAAATTTTTCTTAATCCACATAAAATAAGTACTACAAATTTATTTTTGGTGTAATATTTTTTACATTTTTACACTTTTTTGTAGTATTTTTCATAATCACACACTTTTTTCTATAATATTTTATTTTATCTCTTTTAGACGTTTGTAACGTTTTAAGACATTAAGTGTGTTTGTTTCAATTTAAATCTCATAAAACACAAGATTATATTTTTCATATGTGTGAGCTATGTTTATAGAAAAATGATTTTTCTTTAAAACATATTTATTACATATTTATTTCATATGTATTTTCTTCAAAAATAACATATATACATTTATTGATCAAATGAAATAAACTTACCCATATGAAAAAAATGATTTTTCTTTAAAACATATTTATGACCTTAGTACTAAAAACAAAACATATTCACTATTTATGTAAATTAGTTGAATAATTAAACTTCTTATTTTCATTGTTTACATTTGATATTATATGTAGTTACATCTTTTTATGCGCGAGTTACATATGTTATGCATAAGTTACATCTCAATGTACGCGAGTTAGACTATGACATAAACCTCTACTAATAACCAAAAAATGATTTTTTAACTACATCATTTTTTATGGCACTAATATTAAAAAAAATCACTAATTACAAAAAGTAATTGGGCAATTAAGATCAATTTTAATTTTGTACATTGAAATCAATGTTTATAACAACACAGTAACACACACATATATATAAGATAGTTTACATTTCAACTTTTCTAGATTTACATTTTAATGTACGCGAGTTACATCTTAATGTACGCGAGTTACACCACTAAAATAAATCCTTACTAATGATAAAAAAAGATTCTTGAACTATATCATTTTTATAACTCTAATATTAAAAATAAGCATATTCACTATTTGCAAAAAGTAATTGAGCAATTAAGATCATTTTTCATTGTTTACATTGAAAATCAATGTTATTTTTTTCTTATATTTCGTTTTAGAAAAATTACATTCCATGATTCCAACTTGACTCAAGTTACATTTTCTATCAACATGAGTTACATTTTGTTAAACGGAGGTTACACCAGCCTGCTACTGAAACACACACACAAAATCACTGTTCACTTGCATCACTGTTCATGCGAATTTCATCCCTGGGAGCATGGTGCTCATAGTGGGCCGGTACCACGGCATAACAATTGAATACATGGGTGATTTTTTCTTCTTTTTATTGTACTAAAGTGAAGTGGGTCGGTAGGTTCTCTGGTGCATAGGCCTGTCCAGAAATAATCAAGTTGGGCCTGGGCCAACTCGACACCAAGGCTGGATAACCAGGGGCGGATCTAGGTTTGGGATTGAGCAGGTTCCAATTTTTTTATATCAGCAAACAATTAATTGGCATTAATTAAATCAAAGTTTAGTACATCAACAATTCTGCTAGGAGGAAAAAACAACCAAACACGACAATCAGACATAGAACTAGCTTCCCGTGTTATCGCATGAGGGGCCAAAATTTATTTATATAATGCATATTGCAAAAAATATCTATTCTAACAACAAAATCAAAGACAAAAATAAATAGTATACAAATAAGAGTTTTTCAAATAAAAAACCACCACAATTTTACAATTGTTCTATTTATTACCTTACTAGTATCTTTACCCGTGCCGTGCACGGGATAAAATGATTTTGTTTTAAATTAACTATATATGTGTGTGCACACACACTTGCATATGTATGAGTCATTATAACTAAAGGAAATTACTTAGTCGATTATAACATTGCTTGATAATTGCATATTCTTATTTATTGAGTGTATCTTATTTTTTAACATATAATCTGAACATCTACAAAAAAACTGAACATGTTTTAAGTGTATATTTTCCATTGCAAGAGCCAATTTTTTTATAACTCTTGGTTGCATCCAAATAAGCTTCGTCTTTTCAACCATCTTTATCTAAAAAAATGAAAAAGAAATTGCTCAATACCTATTTTTATTTATTCGATTTCATCAGTAACTTGCTATTTTTCAAAACATATCAACTACACATTTTTATAATGGGTGTGGTCATAAAGATGGATAAAAAAACTTATTTAGTATATGCACTAAAATTAAAAAAGAACTTTTACTTTTGTAGATCATAACAAAAATATGCTTCCAATTGAAATTATCCTTAATTAGAAAGGTGAACACATAAAAAATATCCAAGTTGATCGACATGGGAATAATTATGTAAAAGTCGTGTAATTGAGATTTGTAAATAGGAGAAAGAAATAATAGGAACCATAAATTAATTGATTAAAATGAAGCTAACAATTTTTTTGGGACAACAAAAATTACTTGCTCAAAATTGTACGGAATATATATTT